TCCTCTACTGAAGGGAAGGATGTCCACGTTTTCAGACTACTTCCAATCAAGCCTCTGATTTTCCTGTTCCTTTCAAAGAGCACACAGTCTAGACAGCACATGATTTTAGATACTTAAGGATTTGATTTGAACCTGAAATTCAGAGAGCTAAACATCAGACTACGCTAGCTGCATGTATAAAACCTTCAGTAACTAACACTACTGAAGTAGTGATGTTGAAAATAAATGTAATCATGCGCATGGTAACCACGGGTTTGACTCTCTGTTCTCTCAGAGTCTGAAGTGCCACTGAATGCTTTTCAGGTCAGTTCACACCAATTGTATCTCTCCTTCGGATTTTTAGCCTCTAGAGGTGGGAAATTATTTAGACACGCTCCCAGGTCCAAGTTTCTGCTAAAAGTTTCTCCTAAAATGTCAGGTTCAGTGAGGCAAATGAGCTATTTTCTTTTCCATATCATACTTTAACCAGAAGTTACAGCAATTTGCCTCTCAAATTATCATTATCTGAATTTTTGGCTAACTTCGCAGAGATGTACAAAGTTGTTTCTGTGATAGGCTCCCTGCTACCTCAGTCAGACAGCAAATACATTTGCCCAATATTTTTGAAGTTACCATTTGTAACCAAAAATGCCAGTAAAACAAAGCAAAGCAGGTAGAGGAGTATTTAGAGACAACATGCCTGGCACAAAGCTCATCAGTAAGAAGCAGCACAAATTTTTGGATGGATAGATGAAGGGGGAGGATCCCTGGAAATTACAGACTCACAAACCAACTTCCTGTTGTTCTCCATTCCACTTCAGCAGTGACACTGGACCTTTTTTTTCCCTGGAGGCTGTAACAACATTATCCATGTTACATGTTGTCAGGTGCAGCCAACCTTGTCCCAATACCCCCATGCAGGGCAAGCAGGGCAGGCTCAGAGTTGGTAGAGGTCCAGAGAAGTCCAGTTTCAACTGAGAGTCCCGATCATCTTCCAAGTTCATGATGGCAAGACAGGTTTGAGGTCAAGCCAGAAACACAAGTCAGAAAATCCAGATCAAGACTTGTTGGGCGAGTCCACTGCTACATGGCAAGTCTAAGGTTAAGCTCAGAAGGGTCTGCATCAATGAAACCACTAACCAAGCACAGGCAGAGCCGTGATGGAGCTGGAGACACACAAACTGACAACATAGTGCAGGTGGGGTCTGAAGGCCCCGTGCTGAGCCCAAATGAAACCCATGGACCCATGGGCAGAGGTTGCGGGTGGAGGTCCCAGCTAAGACTTGAGACCACATAGTGCCCACAAGTCCCTGAGTCAAGTAAGCTAATGGGCTGTCATCTTGCCATTCAGTTTTGATTCCTATGGTTTCTTCTAATATCCACATAGCTTAGTCTCACTCGTTTTAAGGAGAGGAGCAATGAATTGACCACCTTATGCCAAGTTCAACTATTTACAAAGAAGAGTATCAACGAACTGCAGAACCTACTGGGATTCAAAAGCAATTCTTTTTTTAATAATATGTATTATATAAATATTAATATTATATATAGTATATATATATATTAGATAGGATAATATAGACATTATATTTTATATTATGTAAATATAAAATATAAAATATAAATATATTTATATTATATAACTGTAAATATGTAAATGTATAAAATATGAAATATATATTAATATAGATATAAAAAGAGAACATCGCAAGTTTACATAAAAAGCCACATGAGCATAAAGGCATGCAAAGCTCAGGTGTTTTTAGCACCATGTCACTGTATCACATGTTCCTCACCCAGGCCAATGCAATCATGTATCAGATTTTATGGTCATCTCCTTGCGGACTAATTCCATGACATACTTTGTGAACAGATACTTTCCTTGAATCCTTTCAGTGGCTTCCCTCTCCTTATTGCACTGATTTCATTGGCCTTGCCTTTAAAAGGCTAATAGTTCCTTCTTTCTCTGCTTATTAACTCTACCAACTGCTGTGGGAAGCAGGTTTAAGAAAAGGCTTGAAAATCTATCCCATTGTTCTGGATTCCCTTTCGAGGTGATGAGGAAGAAATATAGTTCAGGAAATTTTCATAGCTTTCATAGCTGGATACATATCTCACTGATTGCTCTTTAATTATGTGTTGTTAATTATGTGTTTAAATCCTGACCAGATTTAAACTATGTGAGGTTCCTCCCTCCAGCCCCCAATGACGTTCATCAAGACATGTGCAGTTTATGATTGCTGTAAACTGGCAGAAGCATGGACCGTCATGCAAAGCATGGTCTGGTCCTCCTCTGTTCCCACCTACCCTTCTAAAGAGTGATGCATAAAAATAATCAAGGAAAAATCCCTCCATGAGAGGAATCAAGTCAGCCAGCCAAAACAACAAAATCATGAGTTTTTCAGACTCCTTCCTGCTCCTTCCTAGGTGCATATGCCAACAGAAAGGAGGGAAAAGATGACAGATTCTGCTTTCACAGCTGCTAGAAGCAACACAATTGCAAGATGTGATTTCACATAGCTGCTAGATGGAACAGAGGCCCTGCTCTCCTTTCTACCCATGTCTGTGTTCATTTCCTTCTCCCTCCCACCAGTACTACTGCCTCTGACTCCACAGTAAGCTGATTCAGAGGCAAAATCAGGTAGAGATTTTTTTTCCCTTGTAGCATTTTTTTTTTGCCAGTTACTTAGCTAGGTCATTGTAATGTTATACAAGCACCAAAATTAGAAGAGAAATAGCTGCAATAAGCAAGTGCTCTCTTTGGTGCTGGCTAATCATTAGATTGGCCACCTGCAGTGTCAACCTGCACCACACCCTGATCTTTTCAGGAGTTTCAATTCCTGCTTCAAGCTCCATTTCCCTTCCTCCTCTGCAGCCCAGAAACCTTCCTGAGCTGCACACAGTGCAAACCCCACAATATCAACGAGTTGAACTCAGAAATTCTCATGTGCAAAGCATGAAACAAGCCTCCAGACCAAGAAATCCCTCCCTCAGAAAAAGCGCGCTCTCGGCATAGCCATACAGTCCAGCCTGATCAATAGGACTGAGCAACCAGGGCCATCGCAAGCAGCCTGCCTCTTGGCCGATAACCCAGAGCTCTTTTAAGAGAAGATGCATTGGTCAGTGTTTATGCTTACTGCTAAGAGAAGGAGCAAACATAACGGTTTGCTGTGCCTGCAGCGTTAGGCCCTCACTGAGGCATCTCGGCCTTGGCCCACTCGCCTGCCGGCCCTGCCGTGCTGCCTCTGAGCCGCCCCCGCACCAGAGTCCTTCTTTTTGAGGTCATCACATACGATTCAGCTTGTGAAGCTTTTATTCCCCATTGCTTTGCCAGACATCGTCATCTACTGATGAGATGTTAGGAATACCAAATAAACGATATTAATGAGGCACCAAACATTTTAGCAGTTCTGAAGCAAGAATCTGTAGTAATACCTGCAAAGCACGTAACATTTTTGTTTTATTGTCTCTTTGAAGATGCCTTACAGCATTAACTATCTTAATAGTTAATTAGCTATTAACTATTCTCACATGGAATTTTACTTGTGTTTAAGCTGTAACTTTAGATACTTTACAATATTAAACAATTCAAAATGCTAAATGAGAGGCTTGAGAAATTGTGGGAATGCCTTAATGCAAGTAGATTAGAGAAAAAAAATAGCAGCATATACAAATTAAGAGTACTGATTAATAGGCATATTTTTCTTGGATCAGATTGCTCTGCTAAATACCACATGGGCCCAAATAGAGATACAGAGGAACAGACCTCATACCTTTTGTAGCCCACCATGTACAAAATACAGATACTGTAC